TTAAGATTTTATTTATTTATTTGTCAGAGAGAGAGAGAGTGCACAAGCAGGGAGAGCAGTAGGCAGAGGGAGAAGCAGGCTCCTGGCTAAGCAGGGAGCCCGACGTGGGACTCGATCCCAGGACCCTGGGATCATGACCTGAGCTGAAGGCAGACATTTAACCGATTGAGCCACCCAGGCGTCCCCACACTTTTAAAAATTTATTTAAATTTTTTTTTAATATTTTATTTATTTATTTGACAGACAGAGACATAGCAAGAGAGGGAACACAAGCAGGGAGAGTGGGAGAGGGAGAAGCAGGCCTCCTGCCAAGCAGGGAGCCCAATGTGGGGCTCAATCCCAGGACGCTGAGATCATGACCTGAGCTGAAGGCAGTCGCTTAACCAACTGAGCCACCCACGCGCCCCGAAAAATAAATTTATTTGAGAGAGAGTGTGCATGAGTCGGGGGGAGGGTGAGGGGGGTGAGGAAGGGCAGAGGGAGAGGGAGAAGCAGGGTCTCCACTGAGCAGGGAGCCCACTGTGGAGCTCGGTGTGGGGCTAGTGGGACTTGATCCCAAGGTCCTGGGATCATGACCAGAGCCCAAGGCAGACGCTTAACTGACTGAGCCACCCAGATGCCCCTAAAATCTTAAAAAAAAAAAAAAAAAAGAATGGGTAAAGTCAAGATACTGTAATGTCTCTTCATCAGTAATGAACTATTTAAAAATTGTGTTGGAATGACAGAGTAGTTATTTGGAGAAAGATCAAATTCATTCATTATCTCAAACTATATATCAGAATAAAGTACAAATGGATCAGAGATGTAAATGTAAAAAAAATAAGCCCTCAAAAAGTTAAAAATAGAACTACCCTACAACCCAGCAATTGCACTATTAGGTATTTATCCAAAGGATACAAAAATAGTGATTCAAAGGGGCACATGCACCCCAATGTTTATAGCAGCAATGTTCACAATAGCTAAAATATGGAAAGAGCCCAGATGTCCATTGACAGATGAATGGATAAAGAAGATGTGGTATACATATATCTATCTATCTATCTATATATATCTCTATATGTATATATATCTACAATGGAATATTACTCAGCCATCAAAAAGAATGAAATCTTGCCATCTGCAATGACGTGGATGGAACTAGGGGGTATTATACTAAGCAAAGTAAGTTAGTCAGATAAAGACAAATACCATATGGTTTCACTCATATGTGGAATTTAAGAAACAAAACAGATGAACATAGGGGAGGGGAAGGGAAAGGAAAAGAAAATACGATAAAAACAGAGAGGCAAACCATAACTCTAGGAAACAAACAGAACTGCTGGAGGGGAGGTGTGGGGGGATGGGGTAACTGGGTGATGGGCATTAAGGAGGGCACCATTGAGCACTGGGTGTTTTTTTTTTTTTTTAAGATTTTTTTATTTATTTGACAGAAAGAGAGAGACAGCGAGAAAGGGAACACAAGCAGGGGGAATGGGAGAGGGAGAAGCAGGCTCCCCGCCGAGCAGGAAGCCCGATGTGGGGCTTGATCCCAGGAACCTGGGATCACGACCTGAGCTGAAGGCAGACGCTTAATGACTGAGCCACCCAGGTGCCCTTGAGCACTGGGTGTTTTATGTAACTGATGAATCACTAAATTCTACCCCTGAAACTAATAATACACTATATGTTAACTAAATTGAATTTAAATTAAAAAAATTTTAAAAATAAGTCATAAACTTAAAATGTGTCCATAATAGGGAAATAAGGAGATCATTTCTAACTACAGTTCAAAATCCAGAAGTTGTAAGAGACACATCATAAAGTGTTGAAAGCAAAAGACAGAAAAAATCCTGAAGCAGTGAGAGAAAAGACTCATCCACATTGAGGGTAACAACAATAGGACCAATGCCTGGCACTTCACCAGCAATAGTAAACAAATGAAGGCAGTGGAATAAAATATTCAAAGTGCTGAAAGAATAAAAAAAAGTCAAACAGGAATGCTATATCCAGCAAAACTATCATGAAAAAATTAGGGCAAAATGAAGACACTTCCATGTGTAAAAAATGCAAAGAATTTTTACAGCTTATGAAGAAAACAACCCAACTGAAAAAGAAATGGGAAAAAGCCTTGAATAGACATGTCACCAAAGATACATGAATGGCTCATAAGCAAATGAAAATATGCTCACCATCCCCAGGCATTAGGAAAATGCAAATCAAAACCTTAATGCAATATTACACCCACTGCAATGGCTATAATACATAAGAGTGAAAGCATTGTTATGAAGGCTGTGGAGAAACTGGAAGCCTAAAGTATTTCTGCTCAGAATGTAAAATTGTAAAGCACCTTCTATTTTTAAAAACATCTATATTTTTAAGGGAAATCCATTATTTTCTAGATTATGTTGCAAATCCTGACTGAAAAAGAAAACAATGTGGGGGCATTTGGGTGGCTCAGTAGGTTAAGCGTCCAATTCTTGATTTTGGCTTGGGTCATGGTCTCAAGGTCATGAGATCAAGCCCTGCATCAGGCTCCATGCTCAGTGGGGAGTCTGCTTGAGATTCTCTCTCTCCCTCATTCTGCCCCTCCTATCACACACTCTTTCTCTCAAATAAATAAACAAACAAATAAATAAATAAATAAAATATTTAAAAAAAAGAAAATCTGAATAACCAAGTTCAATATACAGATTAAAAGGCATTGGCGGTCTCTGAATCTAATAAGGTCTGATTCATTTTAAGCCCGATACAGTTCCAATGTGATGTAAACTCTTTTAAGGAAGAAAAATTTGTTCACATTATTATATTAGGCTATTAAAAAACAACAAAATGAGGGGCACCTGTGTGGCTCAGGCTCAGTTAAGGTTCCAACTCTTTGCTTCGGCTCAGGTCATGATCTCAGGCTTCTGGGACAGAGCAGGAAGTCTGCTTCCCCTCTCTCTCTCTCTGTCCCCCCAACCCCTGCCACGTTTTCTCTCTCTCAAATAAGTAAACAAATCTTAAAAAAAAAAAAAAACTAAACAAAATGAAAAAGAGAAAATTCTAACTTGAATCTCCTTTAAATGCATAATGTAAAGATATAAATATGACTTTAGCCATTTAAATTTAGCCAGTTAGCACTTAATATTAGCCAAATTCACTTTATTCCATTAATGAAAGATTCCATATTAGAACACTGATTAATGCGATACATCAAAATAACAGATTTAAAGAAAACATATTTGAGCACTGTAGATCCTTCAGTAAGATATTGGATAGTTAAATCATGCCAAATATGGCATTTGAAAAATTACTTTTCAGCAAGAAAATTTCAGCAAACATTATGATCAGCAGTCAACACTGGGAGCATTTTCATGAAAGTGAGGCTGAGACCAGAAGCCCAGTCAGGGCTCTCCCCATTCACCATAGGATGCCTGAGTGGGGACCCAGAGGAAACAGGTAAAGGCAGAAACAAGACAAGGGAAGCAGGATTCACGGATGGCACGATGACATACCTGAAACAGCAGAGATTCTATTTTGACTGTTAGACTAATAAAAGAATTGAGAATGTCAGGGAGGAAGACCTTCCTTGCCCTGTGGTCCTTCTAGCTGGACTCAGAATCAAACTGACATGAGACAGATTAACAGGTGAATGTACGGGGAATCCACACAGACACCAAAGTCCAAAGACAAGGCACCACAAAGCTCACTTGAGCTAAGGAGAGGGGTAGGGGAGAAAACTCATTAGCAAGGTGAAAACAGAAGTTTGGAAAAACAAGATTGTTCTATTATGCAGAGGAGGGGCCTCGGTTAATACTTGTCTTCCTGTTGCAGGCTCTCCTTTCC